TTTACGGTTTTAACAAACTATGAACCAACATCACGGTCTGCCAAAAGAGGGCGGCATAACATAACGTTTACCAGCAGGCATCCTTACTAAAGTCATTCTGGATGACTGATAACTTTCGAACGATACAATTTCTGGCGGAATAAAATTTTACAGGACATCTTTTACCATGCCCATTTCATTAACTTTTAGCACGTTTTCTTCCAGCGAATTTCCACTGAAAATCTAGGCGACATGCACTTTAGAGTATACTGGTGTCTGCAATAGGCCTGATTCTTTATAATTCTGACTCATAGCGATCTGTCAACGTCTACTAGTTTCACCATTTTGCATTCCGCAATTTTAAACGCCGACTTCATGCGTGATTGGTAATGCCTGTGAGGCCATTCGCCATGGACCAGCGGAATGGAAAGGGTTCAATAGAAATTGTCGGTTGTTTACCCGTGACAAAAATTTGGTTTTCTGCAACTGTATTCCACGTGTCGCTGGCCTGTAGTGAACTTTCAGTGGAAAAGAGTGTTTGTTCTCTCTTTGGAATTATGAGAGTATAGATCTGACATTTTCAGTTCATATTCAGTATGTTATATAATTAAGTATGTTATATAATTGACCAATTTGAGGTGTACGCAGATGCCAAAATATATGACCCATTGAAGAAGTTAAGTGAAGTGACAAACAGTCTTACTAGTTCCTAAGGACTGACTCAAGAAAGATACACCTCAGGCAAATCTTCAGCACAACTCGAAAACTAGCAATTTAATTCAAAACTGAACAACAGTCAAAAGAACAATGCCAAGGATGAGCTTAAACTTAAATTAATTCAAAGCTGAGAAAAACAGTAAATGGCCGTGCACTTTGCCCTGGTGAGGAACGAGTCTAGGGGCCTAATCTCTGGAATTTATTTACCCGAAGGGGGTAGGGGAGGATACCTTTAAAGGATAGTGCTCTCTGCACTGGGAGGCAAAACAATCAGTCTCTAAGTTATTCCCTAAACTTTACTATAAACTTAACAACGGGCAAATACTATGCCCTTATAAAAATATAATACGACTATAGGCAATTACGTCTGCCAGTTCAAAAACAAATATCACTACGTTAGGCAATTCCGTCTGCCGGTAGTCTCTCAATATAAACACGACTAGGCAATGCCGTCTGCCAGTCAAAATGTGTCGATAAGTCAAGGCCTCTGACGGGTCTGCCAGTAGTTTCTTGAATCTGCTTAGCTCCTGAGATAACTTAGATGACCTTAGATTAGTTTCTCCAGCTCCTCCATTCCAATAATAAGTGACTTACAAAGTTTCCTCCAAATTCGGCTCCTCAATTGGCTCCTCTGCTCCTCAACTCCTTAACTGGCTCCTCTGCTCCTCAGCTGGCTCCTCAGCTCCTCACTGGCTCCTCAGTTTCTTAATTCCAACCCTCCCTAATTTAAATTAAGATTTAATTAAACCACTTTCCCCTAGCGAATAGGTGAATAACAACCTCAGCTCCTCAGCACCTCAACGTCTCAGAGATCAGCAGTACTACAACTCGACAAATGCAAACTCAGTTAACTAAATCACCCGAACCCCGAATTCACAAAAATCTGCCCTATTTATACTCTTTGGATCGCGCGCCTTACACACAGACAGCGCGTACACGTAGTAAATAAGCCACGCCCACAAGTTGTTAACTAGCAAAAATTACTATACAAAACAAACTTTTCATTCATCTGGAAAACCAATAATTTATGCTCTACATTCATCACTCAAAGTATACAAATAATCCTTAAATCCTAAGCTTTCATTTACACTGAAAACAGAACAACAGATTTTCCCAGATTTCTCACAATAAGGCAAAAACAAAGTTGGTGACTGAACGTAAACATGACATAAATTCATTGATAAAAAAACCAGTGATGTCATACTCATGAATATTCATGAAGCATCTAAGGCCTTGGCAGACGAAATCGCTGCAAATTTCGGTAAATAATTGCCTACTGAAATATTTTCTGCCAACAACTTAATCTAAGTGTTGAAATAGGTAAAGATAAAGAAAATACAACTTTCTGCTCTGATAAATCTCAGTTTTATAATCTAAAATCAGAAATATTCTTTAAAAACTTTAGGCCAATCCGAACAGATTTTAGAAACAAGGAGGCGGCCATGTTGGATTTACCCTAACTCTATTTTTAGCACACACAAACACATGGCAGTGGCAGTGCATGAAAACAGCTGACGGTTGGTTAATACTAGCGATAAAATAAGTCATCAAACAGTTATAAAAGTGGATGGAACCTAATAAAAAGTTACCCAGGAGTACAGGTGAGTCTTAGAAAATGACCAGAGTGGCATTTTCGTCACACAAATACTTGCCAGGATTTGTTGTTTGCTTGTCTGAATCTAATGTAGCTCTCTTTTAGCTTGGGATAATAACATTCATATTTCCTTTTATAGTCTAGAGGAATGGTTCGAATATAATGTTAATAGTCAGTGGGCATGGTCGGAATCGTGACCGACTGGTTCAAAGCACCAAACTTGGCAGATAGATTCTTGTAACCCTTAATACAGGCGAAGTTCTAGAGTCTATTATTTTAGGGGGGGGGGGACTAGCAGGGGTGGATTCAGAATTTCTTTTTGCAGGGAGACGTGCTGAAATGTAGACCGCTTTTTTTCTTGACACTTGGGCCTCTGAAAATTAATACATGTAGCTTGTGGTATGGAGGGGAGGGGCTAGTACCATATTTTCAATGGGGAGCGGCTGATAAAATCCTACAACCATGGGCACTGCACTATAATAGCCTAGGGGTTCAAATGACCCCTTGAGGGAGACCGTTAGCACATTACGTCATCTTCTAATATTTTGTTACTGACACTTTTATTTTGAAGGGGAGGGGGGCTAGACCTTTTTTTTTTTTTTTTTTAACCTGATGTCATCATATTTATCAAGTCACTTATATGCAGCAAGAAAATGTTATTTAGATGAGGATGTGAAAGAAGAATCCCCAAAATAGACTTTTCAGAAGAAAATAACAAATATACCAAAATATGGGAATATTGGTTGGTCACGATAACGCCCTCTCGTGGTGGCGGGTTATCGCGGCGGCGGGTTATCGCGTATCAAAGCAACATCGTCTAGCCCTAGACTAACAGTGTGTACATGTATGCTACTTTACCTGGGGAATTGTTTTATTGATTTCACATTGGCCTATTTCAGCCTGAATACAGGGTGAATCGGAATAATTTGTACCAAGTTCACCATTTTTAGTGTGTGGCAAATACAGTGTGAGTCAAAAAAAATATACACTTTTATAATTGGCCATAGTTTTATTCTGTAGCAATACAGATGAGATATTTTCATATGTACTTTTAGAGTAACTCTTCCTGCTTATTTTGGGTGACATTTTCACTGGATTAGTTTTCACGCATGACTGCACAGGAGACAATTATAAAGGGGTCGGGTGAAATCTGACTTGCGCCAACTGGTCAGGGCGGGATAAGAATGAGACAATTTAAAAGAACACAGGCGAAGGTCATGGAATGCATAATCAGTTCGGATTTGTGGATCTCGCTTGCAAGAGTTTCAGTAGGCAAATCTGGATGACCTCCAGGAAAGGCTAACTCGTGAAATCGACATTCTCAGACAAGACAGGGAGGTGATTCGCCGTGCAGTTGCAGAAACGACGCGCCGAGCCCAGCTGTGCACTGAACGAGAGATAGTGGTCATGTTGAATGTTGCAAATTAGTGGCCGTGGTGATCTGAGAGGTTATGCCGCTTTTATTGAAGTTGGGAAGATGGGAAGTCACGGATGGGAAGATGATCAACAGATGGCAGTGGCGTAGCCAGGAATTTTTCAGTGGGGGGGGGGGGGGGGGGGGGGGGGGCTGGAACATTTCATGGGGGGGGGGGCGTCATGTAGATCAATGATATTTGTTTTAGAAACTCAAAATCTCAGTGGGGGGGCGACTGGGGGCGACAAGGTTTCATGGGGAGGGGGCTGTCCCCCCACCCCCCCCCCCCCCCCCCCACGCCCCCCAAGATGGCGTCGGTCAGTCACCCCCAACTGTACTTCCTTTGCCGGTGAGGGGGTACTTGAACGGAGCGGATAGAAATGAAATAACTGAATAAATGCGCGCGGGGCGTGCTCCGCGCGCGGCCGCCCCGCAGCGGCATGGGAATAATTTGCCTCCAACCAAATGTATACAAAACGTTGTATTAATCAAGCAGAGAACTCAAACCGATGACTACTCCCGAATCGACAGCTACAATACGATACTATTATGTATGTTATCCTTTGTTCAAATGACAATATGGCACTCCAGATGAGACAAAGGAGCACCTGCCCAAGAATTGTATGGAAGTTGACTGCGTAGCTCATCTCACTTGAACCTCTGATAGGAGTTATGTATCTTGTGATAGACATCCGTCAATGCTGAGTCAGAGAGCACTGTTTTTTTTATATCGCCAGGACGAACCTTAGTAAACATTTCATGCATTGACTGTTAATAAATTAAAATTACAAAGAATATCCTCTAAGATAGCCGCAACGCATAGGTCTATATTTACGCCTGAGCTGGTAAAAAACAACAACAACAACAACAATAAAATGAGCAGTGACACAGTGTGTCTGATGCAGATGATTTATTATAATGTTGACGTTCAACGACGAATGAAGGTACTTTCTTCTTAAACTCCAATCCCAGCTATTACAGAGCCATTAATAAAGATAAACATTATAAAGTCTTATTATAATTCAAACCCTTCTGCTAACAACATTACATATTTAAATGAAAAAAAAAGGTTAAGAGGCCGAACCTGTGTACAGGGAACGGAGTGCCCATCTCTCTTTCTTTAGCGATTGGGCCAGACTCACATGCTGCTGTGGGGGGGGGGGGGGGGGGATCGCCACACCTCCTCCACAGCGAGTCTGTTACCTTCCCAGCATTGAATAATGCCGGTACCCATTTAACACCTGGGTTAAGAGGAGTAATTGAGGTAAAGCGCCTTACTCAATGGCACCACACGCATGGCCACGGCGGGGCTCGAACCCACAACCTCACGATCATGAATCCTTTGCTCCATTATTTAAATTATGTGGACCCAATATTGAATTTACTTCTAATTGTTCTGTTCAAATTCAATTAAAAGGATTTTATTCCCAAAGTCAAATTCCAGGCATTTAACAACCATTAATAAAAGATAAAAAGTATGAAGTCGTATTCACAGCCAAACCCTCACCTCACAGCATTTAATATTTACATAATGTGGACTAATGTACATTAATTCAATGCTGTTCAACGACAATTAAAGCATTTTTTTCTTCTCTGTTTCCAGGTATTTTACAGCCGTATATTTCATAAACATTTATAAAATATGCATAATAACCCAAAACAGTTTAATCATCTCTATTAGTCGAGAGCTCGTCGTGTGGTGGTTTGAAACGGTTGACAAAATACGACTGGTTTTAAACACTTTTCCCGACACCGCTGCGTTCTGCGCCATATCGCGCAGTACGCGCCACATCGCGCAGTACGCGCCACGTGCCCGCTAATCTCCAAGTCAGGTGATATTTTAGAATCACTCGGCGCAAGGTACATACCTTAAACACAGCTAAGGGGTGTTTAACAAAACATGACTTGAAATTGGTGAACATTTAACTTTTTTGACTTTTTGACTTTTTGACTTTTCGACTGAAATGTATTTATGAATGGGAAATTCAAATCCTTCACCACACAACATTATATATACTAATACTGTGAATTAACGCAAAATTTATTCTATTTATGCTGTTCAATAAAATACCGACACTTGCTTAAAGGTTCCTTTTGCTTTTAGAATGTTTTGTTGCAGACACAAAATTGCTTTAAAAAAAAAAGTAGGGTGCGTAACAACAAACCCCTCCGTTTCAAAGTTTCAGATCGGTGAATACTGTATAGTTTTGAGGGGGAAAAAAAGAACATAAATTATGTGTTATTTGTTTCAGTTCGTAAAAAGATTCAGTTGCTATATATTATTTCGTGTGCTCTCAACAGAATCTGCATTTCGCATTGTTCATATCAATGTAAACGTTGTAACCTGAGCCGACTTTCTTCCAAACAAGCTGCGATCTGTCAGAGAAAAGCGTACAAAATTGATAAATATTAGTGCATAAAAGTAAGCATAAATTGTGAATTTTTTTCCGTTGTTGGTGCACAGCCCGGTGTTCGATGTTTCCTAGATGGTTACAGCCCGATAGTCCGAAGGTTCTTTAGTCCGAAGGGTCATTAGTCCGAAAATAGAATAAGGTTAATTAATCCGAAGGTTCGATAGTCCGATTAGACGATAGGATTCGATAGTCCGAATTGACAATAAGGTTCGATAGTCCGAATGGGCAATACGGTTCGTTAGTATGACACTTCGGACTATCGGACCTTACTGTCGATTCGGACTATCGGACCTTATTGTCGAGTCGGACTATCGGACCTTATAGCCTTTTCGGACTATCGAACCTTATTGTCAATTCGGAATAATGAACCTTCGGTCAATTGAACCTTATTTTCGTTTCGGACTATTGAACCTTCGTACTGATTAACCTTATTCTTAATTCGGACTATCGAACCTTCGGAGAAATGAACCTTCGGATTATTTAAACCATCGCTATGACGTCACACTATTGTAAAACCCGTGAATTCTTAAATTAAGAATCCACACTTTCTTGTGTATTCTCCTTAACTGAACTGGGCGGCCCCCATTCTATATATAGACTATGCGTATGAGTGTTCCGTTTGGGTAGGGATACAACGTTTGGTTTTTTGTTTGTTTGTTTTTTGTTTTTGTTTTTGCCGCCGTATGCGCAGGTGCTCATAGAAGACCAACATAAGACTCCATTGTTATTTTGACTTCGAATGCATGGACAGGTGGCGGACAATGAATCCTGAATACACTAGGAGGTTTTTCTCTTAATGTATGCAGATAATATGCAGGACTAGCCTAAATAATATGCAGGACTAGCCTACCTGATTCCCGCCGCCTGATTTCAAAATCACAACGATAATGTTAGCGCGGAACCAGCCTATTGCAAATGGCAATAAGGCTACCACTAATTTGCAGTTTGTGTGGGAATAAGCTTTATTTTCAGATTAGACTAGTTTCCATCCGCGACCGGACCGACTGGACCGACCCGCTGGCTCACTCTGGTCTGGAACCGGACCGACTGGACCGACCCGCTGGCTCACGCTGGTCTGGAACCGGCTTGGCGAGGCTCGACTTTTCATGCAGGTGATGTAGCATCGACACTGAATGTAATATAGCTCCGTGATGCGAACGGCTAGATTTACCCTTTCCATCACAAAAACACTACAACTTATTTTACGATTTTCCCGGCCATTTTTAACGTAATTATAGAATTAAAATAGAAATATATGCATTCTGGGACCACCGTATTTGCATTAATGTCAATTCGGGCGATTCACAATGCAGTGCGCCACCAAGAATGTTGCCATGGAAAGTGCTTTTTTTTGTTCAAGTTTACGATCGACAAAACATGGCCCTTTTGAAACGAGTGTCAGTAGACAACTTGAGCTAATTCGGTATAGATTGGGGTAAAGCACTCTGCCACCTTACACAAAGTACCCTAAATGGAACAGAAAACGGCAAACATATACTCGAATCATACGCTTACGAAACTAACAATTACGTAAAAACTAACAATTTCAGATGTCCCGCGCTACGAATTTTTCGACCATCTCCCACATGCACAATGCACTGGGCAAAATGAACTCTCCGTGGCAAACTCTAGGTGGCGCACTGCATTGTGAATCGCCCGAATTGGACACTCTGTCCAAGCCGACTTACTTCCCGTCCAAGACGGTAGCTCTATCGTCGTCTTTCATGTCGATCTAATTCGCACGCTGGACCACATGAGTGGCTGCCGCATCAGTAGGTATCACCTCCTCAGTAGTATAGATCACGTCTAACTGGAGGGCTGATGAAATTAAAAAGAACAAGACAATTGTTTGAAGGTGCAAATAAAGGATCGTTTCCTTCTTTTTGCAATTGTTTTTTTTTTCTGAACTTTATTGGAAATCATAAGTAAGGTGCATAACAATCAACCCGAGATTCAGATTAGTGGATAACAGATACATTTGGAGAAAACCAAAGAAAACATATGCACTATATTTTGCCCCGTAAAGTGGATTCCGTTGCTATCGCTTCCGATTTCATAAACTACCATTTTATATTTTGAATTGCATGGACATGATTCTCATTCAGCCGGTGAATGTATGTGACGTCAAGGTCATTAGATGTGTGAGCTCCACAATATTTGCATAGGCCAAAGAGTTTGCCCGATGGATACACTTTTAAAAAAAAAAACACATTCAAACGATTATTTCTTCCGAAAAATACTATTTCAGGCGGACAAATTACAGGGTAAGGTACCAGTTCGTTTTTTCACCTTTGATTAGCAGGACCATACTCGAATCACACCAACATTCCTCAGTGTCTTTCATATAAGGCTTGAGAAAAGAGAGACATCGCACTACACCTAATTTCACATGACAATATATTTCTTCTGAACAATCCCATTTCAGGCGGTAAAATGTCACAAGGTATATGGCACAAGGTACACCAATTCGTTGTTTTGTTTGTACTTTGATCAGTACGTCCGTTCTCGGATCATACCAATATTTCTCAATGCCTTTTTATAAGGCTTGTGAAAAATGGTATTTCGTTCGGTTGAGCGGGGCGAATTAGAACGAAACGTAGTTCTCAATAAGTGTAAATGTCACTCCGCCATACGCGGATGAAGATTGGAGAAAAAAAGGGGGAGTATATAGGGCGGTGCTTAGTCAGCATGGACCATCTGCGCATCGGCAGGCTCGACTTCTTTCAAGTTTATAGTTAATGATCATTACTATTATAATATCCCATTAATAGATTAGATTTTGAAATCAGGCACTATGACCATAAAGTCATGCAATGTGGCAACTCTCAACAAAGGAAAGTACTAGTGGAAACCATACTACTATTAGTCTTGTTCGCCTAGTGGGGTTTTCCAGAGTATTTTCGCGCAAAGAGTTTTTATCTTTGGTTTTTCACTCCGCAGGCGTGCAGGATCAACATACAAATCACAACTTAATTGATTTTATATGATGGCACAAGTCACAGAATAGTGCATCAGAGGCGTTGAAGTTAATTGTAAAGATTGTCGTTATGTATGCATCCACAGTCTGGGACCTTAAAAAAAATGGATCCATAGTTGACTATTATTATTTAGCATATAATCGTATAAATGTAAATATTAATTTCACAAAGAAAAAGAAAAAAGAAGAAGGAAGAAGACATTAATAAATAAATAAAAGGGTCAGCAACTGCAATGCCTGTCGGTGGCCAACCCAATGTAAAATTGGTGTGACGTGTGGGTTATTGAGAATAACTAAATTACACTGTACGTTAATTTCACATGACAGTATTTTTTTTTGCAATATAGTGGAGGACTTATTGAAGAGACATCGAGACTGAGGGGTTTTAAACAATGGTTTTATAGTCGATCGGGAGCTGTCATACCTGTACTGTATGAATTGTGTTGGTTGGTTTTCTGGGGATTCCATGGCCAACAAATGTTCCTTCACTTGTTTTTTTTTTACATTCTTTATTTTGTTTTCTGGCTTCACTAAGCTGTGATTTCCTTTCATTAAGAAAAAAAATTACATCGATCAGAAGAAGTATTTTTTTCCCGATGTGTTTGCAGTGTGGTGGAGCTTTCTAAAGCTGATGAGGAACTCACCGTCCTTCCCGATCTGATCTGGCTGGTCTTCCCACATCTCACGCACATCGTCGGCGAAATACTCCAAGAAGCAGTCCATGTCTTCGTTGTTTGCACACGCATGCAAACCTCGAGTCAGCTGCGTTATCTGGTCTGACACTGAAATAAAATTTAAAAATGTAAACAAACAAGAGTGCAATACTTTTTTTAGGGTCTGGCAGCAGCTTATTCGTGTCACTTATTGGTTGTTCGGTCGGTCGGTCGGTTGATCGGTCGGGTTTTCCCCGGAAAATTGACTACAAATATTGTACCAAAATTGAGCAAATATCATCAACAACATAATTTTAACATTTTTGAATGTTCATTTATTAAGATGTATTTAGCAGCTTAAGGCCTAGAAAGTTTTGTCTTATAGTTCTTAAAGCTGTGGTGTGTACACAATTTAATCTGTTATACCAAAACTTTGAAGGCTAGCTACCTTCAGGAACTCAGCTAGTTATATCTTAGTGAATTTAGCAATATATTACCACTCGTGTCTTCATCCGTCAAGGCGTGGTCAGTTTCTCGTCCTAGGATCACAACAAAATAATTGTCACACTTTTGAACGTTCATTTATTAAGATGTATTTAGCAGCAAAAGGCCTTAAAAGTTTTGTCATAGTTTTTTAAAGCTGTTGGAATTTCAAATAGGGTAAGAAGTTTTAATATTTGGAAATGTTGCCCCGCCCCGGCAGAGCGAGGGTTTTATTATCTTATTATGGCTGTGTTTGTGGACAGTATGCACAATTTCGAGTGTTATACCAAAACGTTGAAGCCTAACTACCTTCAGGAACTCGGCTAGTTATATCTTAGTGAATTTATAGTTATATCTTAGTGAATTTATAAGCAATATATTACCACTCGTGTCTTCATCCATCAAAGCACGGTCAGTCTCTTGCCCTAAGATCGCAACAAAAAAAATTAACATTTTTGAATTTTCATTGATTAAGATGTATTGAACAGCTGCGCTGATGAACTTAACATGTTTGTCTTATAGTTTCTGAAGTTGTTTGAAGTTCAATTTAGGTTTGAATTTTTAACATTTTGAAATGTTGCCCCGTCCAAACAGAGCGAGTGCCTCATCATCTTATTATGGCGGTGCTTGGTGACAGTGTGCACAATTTCATCTGTTATATCAAAACTTTGAAGCCTGACTACCTTCAGGAACTCGGCTAGTTATATTTAAGCGAATATATCAATGCATTACCACTCGTGTCTTCATCCGTCAAGGCGTGGTCAGTTTCTCGTCCTAGGATCACAACAAAATAATTGTCACATTTTTTGAACGTTCATTTATTAAGATGTATTTAACAGCTGGGCTTAAGGCATTGACAACGTATCACCAACCGATAGTGTCACACAAATTGACCGATTATTGTATCACTAACCGATAATGTAAAAGAAATTACTGATGGTGAAGTAAATGTTACTACTATCGGTAAATTTTTGTTACATTATCGGTTAAGACCGATAATGTAACAACAATTCACTGAGAGTGTAGTAAATTGTACAACACTATCGGTCAATTTCTGTTATTGAGACATCGGTTGGTGATACGTTATTCGTTTGTTACTACATTATCATTTGTAACAAAGCTCTTTATCATCATATTATGGCGGTGCTTGTTGACAGTGTGCGAAATGTCATTTGTTTTCACCAAAAACTTTGAAGTCGAACTACCTTCAGAAACTCAGCTAGTTATCATAGTGAATATAGCAATACATTACCACTCGTGTCTTCATCCGTCAAGGCGAAGTCAGTTTCTTGTCCTAGGAACACCGCGGCGTCGTGTTCAACCACCAGGAATCCTACCGTCAGCAGTGCCATCAGGCACGCGGTTACTGTTGACATGATGACAATCAGAAGAAGAAAAAAAGATTAATAAAAGATATGGGTTGCAACTAAAGCCTGACTTGAGATTGCCTCAGTTAGTTGTGTTGAGCGTGTTTTGGGGCTGTACGGCTGAAACTTTCGTCAGAGCACTTCTGATCCGTGGCCCGGATAGCTACTGCTTATATTAGATTAGACCCAGGAGATCACTCTGCATCGCCTGACTGTGTCGTAAAAACTTAAGAACAGATGGGCCATAAACCTGGCCAAAAAATATGGCAACCAAGCATATGGCGGCATTTTTAATTATACTTGTTTGTGTTTCTAATTTAAAATTAAAAAAATAATAGCATGTGTTAGACAATGAACTGTTGTCTTTGACACATGCCTTGATGAAAAAAAGAGAAATAATTTTCTCATAATTGTTCTTCTGATTTGTTATAAACTTGAAAGAATCACTTCATTCGGCTCAAGGGGTTAGTTCCATTAAACAATTCGCGTCCAAAACCAGAAGTGTAACGTGGGTCCCATTTGTGTGTGCTCTAATGGGTACATGCACAGGGTTCCTTATGGGATAGAAAACACAATAGAACAATAAACTCCATAAGCCTTATGCACCAGTTGGCCATTTTTGTCGAGTTCCCTGAATGTATTTCACTAATTGCTAACTGATGAATGGGATGGCGCCAGACTATTTATGCAGTGATGAATTAATTAGTTATTAACTTGCTTTCATTGTATTCATCTATATTCACACTTTCTTTAGAAAAAAAATTGTTTCATGAATGTAAATTTATTATTTTATTTTCATATTTGTATGCGTATAAATGTGATCCCTGGTTTTCTGTTTAATTATTGGTAAAATAAATCAACCCCTTTCTTTACTTTTATTCATTCATTCGTTTATTTGTATTTTGCCCAAAAAAATGCATGTACTTCGATGTATGTATATTTGAATATGGAACGGCGGCAGCTTGCAATCATTGCTCCTTGTTAGTTAAAAATATATACCTATCCTCCCTCTAAAAAAGACCGATGTGACCGGAACTTGAGCACTAATTACTTAACACTTCAATTCCGTATTCACTTGCATGCATTTATGGGGGATTTCGTTATTCTAAACGAACTCTAGATGTATAGATCATTTGGAAATCTACTCTCTTTCTGTACGTGCATGAAAATAGACATCACTAAAATTCTGAAAGTATAAAGGTGTGGATCTGGGGTGCGGACGCGTGAGACGTGTGTGGAAAGCAGGCAGCGCTACTTGCCACCGCGCTTAATTGCTGAATAGGAACAAATTAAGGGACAAAAGGAAGGGAAACAAAGATCTTCCCCATACGTATATGTGTGTCGGGCTATACAGGCATTACATTCACAGTGTGCCTCCAAGCAAAAGAGCCCACGACTTGCCCGTGTCCACACAAGGTTCCCGCTCTCTGAAAAACAGGTTTGCATTTTTGGGGGGTTAGGTTTATCGGTCGCAAAATGAAGGAAATCATGAAAAAAAGATTGGGTTGAAAGAGTGTTCACAGTGTGAATAAAATGAGTTTTTTCGCCTTTTTTTTTGAACTGCACGAAAACAAGGAATGTCCACAGTAGGTATGTAAGTTTGTATATGTGTGTGCGTGTGTGAGGGGGGGGGGGGGCGCAGTGGGATGGGGTTTCAATCTTGAAGGGGGTCACAATGGGCTGTGTTGAGTTTCAAACAATATGAAGCTATTTTGTCCCTTACACATCTCAGTTACGCCACTGCCCCCCCCCCCCCCGCCCCCGAATTAATATGAAAATCCCCCGTGAAAAATTGTTTGATCTTTTCCCTGCCGTGGAGATTAAGATTCATTTTAAAGTGTACTTGTTTTGAGAAAGCTAGAAACTTCAAGTTTACAGCAATAAAACGTTCCTTTGCGATGAGTCAGACGATTTGCGTGGTAGAAAGGGGATTTAAACAGTTCGGAAAAGTGCCTTTTGATGAGCTTGACGACCACTTTAAGATCTAATCACTGTCAAGCTCGGCAAGAGGGGATACAACAGTTTAAAGACACGAAGGTAACCGCAGAAAAGACAATGAACGAGAATACCTTCGCCCTGAAATTGGCAATGACATTTATTGCATATTATCGAATTCAGGGATAGCCTACTTGAATTATCAAACAGCCTTAGGGCCTATCATGATATTTTAGAGGGAATTACTAAGAAGACAGATCTTCTTGGCTTGGAGGATTTTTTGTAGAGGTAATTATTAAGAAGACCAACCGATACGTATTGCAAGGTACGTTTTATTGCTGTAGACTTGAAGTTTATAGCTTTATAAAAAAAGAAGGGAATTTGACCTTTGGAGGGACTTCAGAGGCATTGGATAGTTGCAGACAAAATTAGTGGTCAATTCTGTAAGCAATCAAATCTAAAAATACTCATATACTCAGAGTGCAGATCTGCCAAACAGATAAAATATCACAATATGGCTCCTTACAATTAAATTTTTAACTGACCTGGCCGAACACGATCCTGGATTTTATGCAACATCTGTTCTTTATATATAAGGCAATTTTCTGGCCTACGCGTTTTGGCAATATGCTGAAAATAAGAAATATTTTGTGGGGGCATCAGCTGAATACTTTTTAAAATGCGTTTTGCACTGACGAGAATTGGGGGGGGGGCTGAAGTTCTGCACTCACGAGAATATGGGGGGGGGCGGGGGAACAGAAGCGGATCATCATCATAACGTACTTCAACACTAAAATGGTTTCGGCTAATGTTGCATTTTTTGTTTATTTACAAGTTTACCAATTTTGACTGTTGGTCAGCATCATTAGAGCAGTAATGGAATAACCCAGTTTCGAGACGAGCAAATGTCCAACACTTTTTTTCAATACGATAGAGCCAAAATTAGACGATTTACCTTCGAAGTTGAGCTTATCCCACTAAAAAATTTAATCCATGCAAAGTAATTTTCAACATAATTTACCGTTCATAATTATTTGCCGAGGAAGTTAGAAATAATGTTCAAAGAATCAATTTGGGCGGAAATTATCAATTACTCTCATTTTGCGTGACAGTCAGTCGGCATATTTCTTGATGGCACCTCCCCCCCCCCCCCCTATTCAAAATGGTCTACCGACGCCCGTGTGTCAAATATGTTGTAAGCAAAAAATACTCGTTTAAATGCATTTATACGTCGACACTGCCATTTCAGATGTACACGTTTCGGGTACAGGACTGGTGAATAGGCCTTCCACTTCATGGTGACAATAACTTTAGGTTAAAAGTTCAAGTTGATATGGAGTGTTGAATGGATTAGTCTGGGCGCATGCGCATTTTAGTGATACCGCAAGTGCCTATGTCAAGCATCAATAATTTTCCGTGCATAGGATGTGTACAGACCCTAATATGATGCATGGGATGCCTACCGCTAGGTCGTTGGTATATTGAGGTATACACTGTTATTATTGTTATTTGATTATTGTGTTACGGTTAAATCACTCTTAGTATTTTGAATTCAAGTAATAACATCTGTTCTAACTGGAATGAAAGGTGAATGTTTTGACACGTCGTTTTTTTAATGCAAATGAACATTCAATGCACATGCTCGCTAGCTAAAACTGAGAAATCAATACTACGAGTGATTCAAACTGTGATCTCTTTGCCACGAGGGAGTTTTAACAGCGGATGAGGGACTAACTTTTTGTACACTGGCTTCCTAGAGGAAACGCGCTGTATCAGTTAATATTTACATATCTGGCACAATAGAAAATATTGAGGCTGTCGATATTTTCAGTTTTCTTCATAATACACACGAATGCGCGTGCGCCGAGGTGATCCATTTAACAACCTCAACTTGAACATACGACCTAGTATTGAATCTTTTGTATTCATATAGCACAGGTGTTCCTTATTTACATATACTCAATACACCTGACCTCGCCGTTTTCGTGTGGGGCTACAAGTGAATTGAAGGTACATTAGGCCCACTGCATTCTGCGTGCGCCATATTGAAAATCCGCACTTGTTCCTGTTGCCATACATTCTGCACACAGCAGTTGCCACGCCTTACACTTGGAATAATGTATTGAACTGCATCCTGGTGTCATCTATATTATGTTATCAGCAAATCACGAGAACTGCGACATGTAAGTGTACATTTCACTGTCAGTAAACTTTACCTTTCACTGTGAACTGCATATCTTTATCAAATGCATAATTCTGATGGCTGTTGTTTAAGTTGTCGTGACTATAAAGTAGGTCTATGTCATGTAAGCGCAGTTTGATTCGCAATGAGTAACAAGTTCTGGGCAGAGGCTTCCCGTAGTCGTCAGGTTCTTCGTATTAGTTCGTATGTCAATGGCAATGATCGTCCAATTAATCCCCAATAGTGAGCACCCCGTCAATTACTAATTACAATTGTTCTGACACTCTCTGACCTTACCAACTGCTACGTGAATTGGTAAGAATTTGTAATATTTGCACATTACAGACACATTATTCGGTTAAAAATGTTATGCGATGCTGATGTAAATGCACCATATGACTGGTTCTCAGTAGTATTTGCAATATTCAGGGTGACCCCAAAAATGCAACCCTAAAACATTTGCCTTTAAAAAGAAGGGATCAGTGGATTTTACGTTTTGGGTATCAGACTAAAGCTGAGAACTTTTTCTTTCAAAATGCTGAACAAATCATGAAAATAGCACTTTGGGTTGCTGAGAAAATGCCAATTATGTTAAAGTAGACATGTTTCATCATGTACATAAGTACTTTAAGCAGTGAAACATTTTACTGTAAGCCTACTGTGCATTTGGTGCAATTTCGTCAATATTTTGACATATTAATGATGCTTAAATGGTTTAAAATAGGACTAAAAAGGATAAGATACATGTTCAGGGGAAAAATAAAAGGTATTTTCATCAAATGTATTTGTATTGTGACATTATGTGCCGTGTTGTTTGTAATGATAAGGACATGCACAAATAGGTACAGTGAAAATAACTTACTGTGTACAAGATGAAAAGTGACTACTTTTACATACTTGGCATACTTCTCAGCAACACTTCTCAGCAACACAAAGTGCTATTTTCATGATTGTTTCAGCATTTAAAAGAAACAATTTCAGCTTTAATCTGATACCCAAAATCTAAAAA